AAAGGAGGAGGCTACAATGCTTGATAAGAAATGTACTCATTATCCTGCCCATGTAATTGTAACCCCTCTGTACAGTATTTTCACAATTAAAAAAAAAAATATGCTTCTCCAAAGCTGGAAGAAAAGCTTCCTCCAAAGCTGAAACTTCATGAAAAGTATTGAAAGTATTAAACTTCTGCCTTATATAACTCGACACCAGCTAGAGCTTTCTGAACAATTAAGTTCATAAAAAGAAATTAAAAAGGGGAAATTTAATCTATTCTAAGTATGGAGGAGCAAAGGAGTCTGAGCTTCTAAGTACACTTAGTCTTTATGTTTGACCCAGTGTCAAAGAGTACTTAAAAAAAAATAAACACGGGCAACCTCAGTACACATTATGTATCAAGAAGTAAACAAAAAGTGTCACCGTTGCTTTCACCACAAGCGATCCCTAACCATCCATATAATACCCTATGCACAACAGTAATGGTAGAGAATTTATTAAATGAAAAAAAAACCTAATCAATGAATTAAAAAAAAGGTAAACCCAAGGTGTGCTGGCACAAAGGGAAAAAAAATCATCATTCTTATCTTCACAATGACAGTGTCTGCTGTCTTATTTAACTTGGATTAATTAAACTACAATCAGTGACATCATAGAGTCTTAAGTCCATTTTATTTAGCCATTTTCTGGAACTTCTCTTCTATTTTGGGGTTTTGGTTGTTGTTGTTGTTGTTGTTTGCTTTTGGATCCTAATTTCTGTCTTATCAATATCAGTTATGTAAGCACTAATTCAAAATTTTAAAGAGTTCTGATAAATTTAGTTAAGATAAATTCATCACAAAATCATAGCATCGTCTTCATTTTACAACTATTAAATCATTTAATCTTTCCCAAAATCCCGAGGCAAACATTATTATTTTTACATTTTCATAAAAGATGAAGGAAAAAAAATTGAAGTTTACAGATAGCACAAGACTTGCTTAAGATCATAGAGCTTGTGACAGGGCCTTAACTCAAATCCAGGCTAATCCAAAGCACTAGGTGCTTTTGATCACATTACAAAGGAAGGTACAAAGCTAATTTTTCAACTAGCTCTCCATCATTTTATGTATTCTATACGTCAGTAGCAGTTCACAAAAAAGAAGTAATATCTTTCTAATCACTCCTATTAATGTGGACTCTGTCAAGTAGCATGTCTTTGTTTTTGTTTTTTGCTTTCAGATGTATAAAAAAAGTCTTCAGATATCAATAGACATGCTTTAAAATATGTATTTCATAAGCAAAACTCCAGCATCTTGCATGCAAAAAAATAAAGAAATTTTGCCTGTATAAATGATTCAGGAGCTGAACCTGAAAAGCTGTGAACCTGAAGTAATTCTCCCTAGATAAACCCTCTCCACACCCACACCCACCCCCAGTCAATAAAGACAACAACACAACGGAGAACTGAGGAGGTACAAAATAAGGAAAACTGAGACATTCGGCCATTTCTCATTATGCTATCCATCCGGCTGATGAACGAAACTAGAACGGTGTACCACACAGACCCTTCCAAAATTCATGATCACTGACAGCCAAAAAGGCCATTGCAACAGGGGCACACCGAACCCTCCCTCCCAAAACGCTGCATCTAATAAGGACCACCTATCCCGACCACCAGTCAATTTACAGTCAGCAATTAAATATTAACGGCCCAGGAGCGCTCATCGAGAGCCTCCCCGGCCGACTTCTGTGAAGAAAGAAAAAGACTGTCCTCGTTTTCTAGGGGGCCACTGAGCATGCCCCTCGGGTGGGCTGCCCATTCCGTCTCTCCCAGGGAAGGCGGACGGGCCGCCCTCCGCACCCCTGGGAGCCGAGGCCTGAGGGTGGCCGGGTGCCCTTTTCCCCCTCCCAGCTGTCAGCGACAGGTCGGGAGGCGGGGCGCGGCCGGGCTGGGCCGGGCTGGGCCGCGCCGGGCCGTCCGCACAAAAGAAGGGGAGCGAGCGAGCCGGTAGGAGGACCGGCCCCCGAGCCGGGGTGGTTCGGGGTGGGGCCGGGAGAGGTGGGGGGCGCTTACCCAGCAGCAGCACGTTCTTTCCCGCCGGGAGCTTGGAGCGCGAGCGCGTGGAGACCTCGCTGAGGATGCAGGACCTAACGGGGAGCAAGGCGCAGGCTGAGGCCGGGGACCGGCGGGTCCGGCG